CTGTTGGAGTAATCAGATGCTGGTCACTCTTAGTGGTTAAAAGGTTCCCCCTTTTACCACTAAGAGTGACCAGCCTTAAAAATATTGATACTAAATGAGAAGAGACCAGGTTTCAAAAGGGACTTAAGTGAATAGTCAGCTTCAGTAGTCATTATGACTCACTGGGTATTTTACTAATACCTAAAAAGATATTCTGGATCTTTTTTTTTAACATAAGAAAGCATGTTTCTATCACATGACAAGCTAATTTTGGTGTCTGACTTAGCACTTTGAAACTGAAATTGTAACAGACCTAAGAAGAATTATATACAACATACACTAGCAGTGGTGAAATATGTAATTTGAACAATTTTTTTTTTTTTTTGGAATATGCCTCAAATAACCTTTCTTAGCTAAAAACTCAACAAGTTTTCCCTTCTCCTCCTCTTTTCTCTCCCACTCACAACAAAAAGCTCTTTCATCCTCCCATGCATGAACAATGATATCAAAAAAGCAAACAAGCAAACAATGTGTAAACTAGAATAGGAATTCTGGTTCACTACAAGATCATGATCAGGAACCACAACACAGAAAAACAACTGAAACTGAAAGTGATCATGACATCACATCACCAATACATTTCAATCCCATCGTTCAATTTCCACAAAAGACTTCTCAGAAAAAGAATTATTTTTCCCTCGTTCATTGGAAATTACGATATGGCCTAGCTCAGTTAGCGAGTCTTGTAACACTACAGAGAGAAATGCAATGTATCGAGTATGGTCCGATCGTCGGAGTCTTAGGGTAGTCGTAAACAGGATTGATACCGGATCGCTGGTACAACTTTAACTGCGACTTACAAGATTTCTCTCACCTGGACAATCTGAATACACAGCAATTGTCATTTCTTGGTTCAAAACGTTCACCGTTATACAAATATGTGGACGTTAAAGAATTCAGTTATGTATCAAGCATGGCTTGAATTAAAAATTGAAAAGTTACTACAGACTTCGTAGCTGTAAATATAAGGTTTGACGTTGAACGGAATCAACTAGATCATGAGTGAACTAAGAAAATAATTACTTCCACGTTACATTTCGCCAAGCAGAGGAATATGAATTAATAACGTATCCAAACAATAATAATGAGTTTACCTGGACAGTAACCATGATTAATTTGAGCAGTTGTAATAAAAGCTTCCAAGGTTTTCTTCCACGATGCTTGTACTTTTGGTACGGATTCATGAAATGCGATTTGAGTCGTTTTCTCATGACTTCGATGCGATTTCTCTGGCCACCGTTGAACTCAGAAGAATCATAAATCGATTGATAGTGGACCGAACCTTCAAAACTGGTCCTACGAAGAAGTGGTTCGGTAAATTCATCGAAACCAGAGCTAAAACTGTCCTGTGTCGACCCATGATAAGATCTGGCAAGATGACGGGCAGATCTTGATGAGACTGTCGGTAAAATGATTCGGCTACCCATTGCTGAAGAGGATAAAACGGTTTAGCGATGGTTAAAAGTTCGAGAGCGAGTTCATAGCCAAAGATACTATCCTTGAGTCGATACGTACCCTCTCCTTACGTAACGGATGTTTTCAGCTAACTTAACAGCATTTCAAGTGTTAGCGACATGAGTAAAGGCAGCAATAAACTCCTCAGTCTTGAATCTCTTTCTAGGTTAACCATTCAAGCACAGAACACCCAAGAGAGTTTCTTTATAAAGAAACTTACAGCTTTTGAGATCGTCTTCGCCAAATCACGTTACTTTCATGCATCTCAACTCTATTAATGACCATCCGAAAAATCCCGGCGTTCATCGCGTACGGTAGGATTTTTCCACAATTTTTGTAGGGGGGAGGGGGCAGGGGAATGGCGGTAGCCTGCTGAGAGACAGCGATCCCGCTATTTTTTATTGCCTAATAAGGGATTTATAACGAGGAGGGTTAAGAATGCGCGGTAAATCTATATTTCAACCTATTCGATAATTTGGAATAAGAGAGATGGTAAGTTTTGTGATCGGTAAAGAAATAGAGAAAGATGTTTTTCGTCTTGTCACGAGCGTGGGACAAAGAAAGTATTCTGACGAAAAACATCTTTCCCTATTTCTTTACCGAGCTCAAAACTTTCCATCTTTCTCATTCTGACGCTATCGGCGTTGCTGATCCTAGCAGTATGCAGGACGCGTGTAATACGAACTTCGTAATAGACCTCGCTGACCGAAGAGTCTCTTTAGCTCAGTGGTAGATCATCGGAGCGCGGGCTCCGAAGGTCTGAGGTTGCATTCCTCATGGGGACTCTTTTTTTCTTTTTCCTACGCTCGTGTAAAGACGAAAAACGTCTTTTTTTATATACGATAATTTGTTAGCGTACTAGAAAATCGTCGCCTCCAATCCGCTGACCATGGAAGCCTAGTGACGGACTGACTGTATAGCTGGAGAACATATCAGTTCTTCACATAGTTTACGTGTTCCACCTACTGTAAATTCCTTGAAATCTAATACACTCTAATCGTTCTCTTTTTTGCCACAGGTTTGTCATGCCTGTAACGGGAGATATGTCGTTAGAAAGGCACTCGCCTGATCACAATTAGTAAAAGCTCTACTCAACAATTTCACTAAACTTCCTTAAAAATTGATTATTCGTCAAACATGTGCGACCGAACTGAAGACATGACAAAAAACATGACAGTTTTCCCTTGAAGTTCGTGTGAGTGGTGTAGAATTATTATTAACGATGAACTGAATCATATGACTTCCTAACGACAACCATTTCGATCCGTGAGATTTTATGCCAGCCTCAAATTATATCCTGGAGAGTTGCACCAAGACACCAAAAACAATTTATACGCCTATCCACCCCACCCCCCCAAAATCAATCCACTCCTCCACCGGAAGTTCCTTTAAAGCTATAACTGAAGCGTTTTTGCATCAAAGCCACGCGTGGAATTTTTCAGTATTACTAAATAGAAGTGTGTGTGTGTGTGTGTGTGACTGTATTTCGTGCAACAGATAAGTAAAGTCTAAGTTTAGGAATGAACGTTAAAGAAAATGTTTGTAAGATCTTAGTTTAACAATGCCACGAAACCACTGCCTGCGTTAAGATAAAATTTTATTCAACATGTTCAAGGGTAGATGATTTCCAAAATGATCGCATTACGATCTAGACACCGGTGAGATAAAAATCACCTTTGTCAAATTAGATATAAAAAATTCAAGCTAAAATGATGTTAAATCTGTAAAAAAATATATCTCAAAGTAAATAAAACTATTCAAAATTTTATGAATGGTCAATCAAAAGCATACTTATTTTGAAAAGCAGTTGAATCTAACTTTTTATTCAACAGACTTTTCCAGATTCTTCTGTAGAGCCATGAATTACAAACGAAATATGAAAGGTGCAAGTTAATTATTGCGCAATTAAAAACGATGTGCTCTCCCTCTAAATTCTATTTTACAACATCTTTGATACTCGATTAACATTGCTGTACTTCAAATATCAGCAACATTCCCCACTTTCATGCAAGACCAGCGACGTACTTAGCGATTTCGCAAGCCGATCAAGGCGATCGGCGAAAATCGCCAGGTGTGCCCGGTGCAGCGATTGCGATTTTCGTGTGATTTTCGTTTCATAACTGTCAAATTCGCCGCGATTGGCGAATAAAATCGCCAGGTGTGTCGTCAGCTCCCATTGAATGTGGATAGCTTCTTTGATTTTAAGTTGGTAAGTTGTGGAAGCGTGATCTAAGATGCTAAAATAGTCATCAGAACCTCGAGTGCGATATTCAATGGGAGCAACCCACACTTAATCATCAACTTTATCATGTTAATTTAAAATTTTCTTTGTAATTGCATTCATTGTTCTAGCTGTCACTATTATTTGTTTTGTCCAATCAGCATTTTGTTATACACTTAATATTCAACTTTGTACTTTGTAAAATCAGAACTGAAGATGACAGAAGAACTGTCGAAACATGTTTCTAAAAAAGTGTAGTTTATTTTCTTTAATTTGTAACATATCTGCTGCTATCCAGACCTTTTGGTAATACTGTCTGCAATCTACCTAATGGGATAATGGCGGGAGACACAACAATGAATTTATTCCACTTTTTTAAAGTAGAATTAGCATTTGAAGGCAAGCATCCAATAACATCTGTAACAATTATTTCGCAATATTACTATTACGAAATAATAACAGTCATTGGATTGAAATGACGCTTGTAATTCTAGAATCATTGTGTGATCAATCGACTTCCTGAAAAAATCAAGTTCCTATTGCTGTCATGTAGAAACCCCTCGTTTCCTCTTTTCTGCGGTTCTCTGTACATATATAACGGAAGATATTTTGCGTTAACACTGCAGAAAACCACTTCAGTAAACCACTCCACGAACAGCAAATTGTTTACTCTTCATAAAAACTTCACAACATCAACTTCCCAAATATTGTTAATTCATTTGAAGTGCGCGACTTAACAGTTTTTTTCCTTTGTTTGGTCAAAAATACTATTCATGCGTTTGCATTACAATTATTGTAATTACCCATAACGAGAAACATGAAACCTCTCAGGGACGAGCAATTGCGTGGGATTTTTTGCTAACCTCAAGTTACGTCCAAGATGAGTCTCAGGAAAGATGAAAAAAAAAGTTGGATAGGCTAACTTATTTCTATTATGTGGTTTGAATTCAAATTTATAACAAACAGAGTCACCAAGGTTCTTCTCAACGCTATGCTTTTATTTCGACAGGATTTACAAAAGGATAAAGACCAGGTGCAAGTTATTACGTAACCTAAAACAATGTATAGTCTTCTTCGTGTTCCGCTCATTAATTTTTTTCATTCTCGATTAAACCAGCTATTTTTCAAAAATCAGCAGCATTCCCCGGCTTGACTTTGTGATTATATCAGCGGAAAACGACAGAATTACGGATACGCTAAATGGGAGCTGTTGAAATCGATATATTTTAATTCAACAATGATAATCACAAGACTAGCTGTCATCCTGACGGAGGTCAAAGAAGATTTAACCCCGCGGACAACAAAGTTCTTGAGTGATTGTCTGCTTCACCGCTTTTCTAACTCCGGTAATCTTCCAGCAGTAGAGAAAAGGGTTTAAAGATGATTTGAAGAACAATAAAACAACCGTTATTCCCCAGATGACGATGAAATGTGATGAATATGTTTGGCTATGGTTGATTACATTCGCCTGTATGTTGTATGGTAAAAAACACACAGCTAATGCTAACTGCACCCATATTGCACTGTACACTGCCTTTTTATACCGCGCGATGTTCAGAGCATTTGATTGGCTTGCCTGTTGGTCTTGCACTAGAGCGTGATGGTGAGTGAGATTGCAGAAAATCTTTGCGTACGAGGCGATTGAGATCAGAAGACAAGATGGGGTTAGGATTCGACCAAGCCAAAAGGATATACGAGGATCCAAGATGTAGAATAAACCAGCGAAACCTGATACAAGCCATAAGGCGGCCACAATTATTCTCACGCGCTTCAGAGTTACAATTTGCCTGTATCTTAGTTTCAACGACAAGGCCAGAAGTCTGTCAACGCTTATGGCAGTCGACGTGAACAGGGAAACTAGACATAACGCAAAACCCACTATGTGGACTGCGTCATATAGGTTTCGACAGAGATTCCACTCCTCGTGAACCAAGGACATCCAATAGGCAGCAAAGAGAGGCTGACTAACAACACCAACCAACAGATCAGATGCTGCCAGACAACGATATAAGAGTTTGGACGGCAGATGGAGGGAAGATTCCTTATGAAGGGCGACGAGGATGAGAAAATTCCCGAGAAATGCTGTCGTGGAGAGGACAATGTTAACCACTGAGAAAGAGATTAATTCCTGTCGTAATTCACCAACCAATGATTGAAAACAGAACTGCTCTTGAAAGGTATTCGGGTGCATTCCATCTTCCGTAGAACTGTTTTTTAAAGTCATTCTCTCTGTCATTTTCTTTTCCTGGAGGCTACCACCGATCGGAACGGGAGAGATTTCGTCTTACTAACACTCGCCTAACTCGTAAATATGCCTTCCTGATAATGATAATCACATTAAGCAAAGCGCGAGACAACTGTCTGTTGTTTTTATCAATAGTTTTCTTTTATGTGTGAGTGTGCCTCAGGTACGAATTTACATTATGTGGTGCAAATTAAAACACCCTCTTATTCAAATACTAAAATTTCCATTGACAGGTTAGGTAAAATATAATTTTTGTATTCTTGAAGGTCTTTAATCATTATCAGTCTCGGCAAAAGGAAAATAAAAACTTTTAGCGGAATCGAGGTAGGAGTATGATTACGAGTTATATTTGAAAGTGAGAGAAATTTCCTCATGCAGATTGGCTGAGAGAAATGCAGTTTTCAGGTAAAATAATTCCAAGGAGAGGTAATTAATTCAGTTCATATAGATATGACAAACAATTCAGCCGGAATAAAAGAAAAAAATATCAGAAGTCTTAGATTATTACTTGTTTGAACGGAGTTGCGTGGACCAAATGCTCATTGGCCTTTTGAGAGTTTATATGAATCATTTCTGCTTTGCTTTGCTTCTATACACTAATTGTGAGATGCTTTCTCATTTTTTTCCCATGAAAAACATCTGAATATCTATTAAACGTATCAAACTGGATTTGCCCTTCAGGCTCGTACAGTTTAGCAGGTTATTTAGAAAATTCCTGTCGCCTATCTATTCCATACTGCACTAGAAAATATGTGATAACCTTTAGCTGCCACGTAAACGATTTTCTTTTGCTCTAAATTCTTTTGATGATATTGAATTGCGGTTTCAACTCACATAGCTTGGAACAGGGTAATTTAGTATAATCAGCATAACAGAAATTGGCCACCGGAAAGAGTTTCAAAACTGACGTTTCGAGCGCTGGCGCTTCGTCAGAGCGAATGGAGGGACTGTGGGTTGTGTTTATATGCAGAAAATAGAGATACTGGAATGAAAAGCGCTCGTTGATACCCTGATCATTAAGAATGCCGATTTGAGAGATAAATTTTTGCTCCAGAGTTTTGTGGCTTTCCGGACTGACTAGATGTAAGGAAACGTCGCAATGAGATTCAAGAGTCAAGCGGCTAGTTTGGATGCGTCCTTGTCATTTCTTTCTACGTCGCGAAGGTGTTCTCAGAATCGGTCACCTAGTCGTCTTTCTAATTCATTGATGTATAACTTTTTGAAATAAGTGTAAGTTATGCAGTAGATGACATTGGCGGAGGTTTACGTGAAGTGATCAGTAATCTTGATGTATATCTTGGGTCAGACATTTCCCAAGTTTTGCATCGTGAGCGAGCGCTTTTGAAAGTTCCAGGTTGTCGTTAGTTTAAAATGAATTTCTGACCAAAAAAGTTGCGTATGTTTTTGTCGCGTTTGAATGAAATTAGTGAAGGTTGTGAAAGAGATAGTCACAAACGCTTTTCTGAGCGAAGCTTGAGAAAACTGTGAGCTTTTACGCACAGACTAACATACGATCGAGCATATTTTCGAGTCATTACAGGTTATTTTGTTTATAACCCTTCAAATGTTTTGCAACGCGCGGGAAAAAAATCTTACGTACTTCTTTCATTGCGTTTTTATCCATCATTCATTCGTTTTCATTCCACTCTATTCTAAATGATCCAACTCAAAAGTGGAAGTTGGTTTACTAGGGCGAGAAATTGCATTCTGCATAAATTTGCTTTTCGATTATTTTCCTTTGTTACATAGCGAATTTGGAAATAAGATGGGGAACGGTTTTTTTTTAAATACACATGACAACTGATTGGGGCTAATATTTTTTCTACTCATTAGATAACTCAAGAATATTCCCCTTCAGTTATCAATCTAACTTTAAGACCGTGTTAAAAACAATGATCCTAGTCTGAATTCGATTCTGATGGATAATTCAAGATATTTTACCTCGAGTAAAAATTTTGATCGAAACTTGTAACTTGCTGGTTCTTAGATGGATAGTGATCATATCATATCGAACATTTCAAACTTGAAAAGATGTGTTTTTAGTAGCGAATGATATTTTTATTTTCATTAGGGAAATTTCATATCAAGGTAAGAGGGGAGAACGATTTTTGAGAGACAGGCACTAATGGCCGTGCTATGGAAACCAGGAACATTCACATCATTACATCATTTCCGCAGGTGATACAATATTTGGACAAGAAAACATTTTCATAACTTTGTCTCCTTTCAATCCAGTGACCCGCTTTTGCGTCCATCCGTGATGGTTATGGCGAAAATTTTTCCAATACTTTCCTGTGGAGGACTCAGAATTTCTTCTTCATCTTACGCACCTGACAAGACGAAAAATATTTTTCTTTAGTTCAGTACCGTGGTCAAAATTTATCATCTTACATATTCTATTTTCTTCATCTATAGTGCCAAAAAATATTGGATTAGAAAGTGAAATCAAACATCAAGTTTGTTTCTAAAATATATAAGTAGTCGCCATTATAAACACATTACTGGTGAGGTATGGTTGGTATTGCGATTCTTTACTCTACCCTTGATCATTAGAAAAAGACAATAGATCTAAACCTGACAGCTTCTACTGATAAAATCGTTTCTTCTCTTCCTGCAGCCGTAATTTCAGCTTTTTCAGTATTGATACTTGTGTAAGTCAGAGGAGAGTTAATTCAATGGACAGCACAGTGCTTGGCTAATTGTCTGCTTTACTGCTTGTTTCATCTCACTGATCCTCCAGCAGTATAGGACGGGGTTTAAAGCCGAATTAAAATAAAATAAAACAAGTGCCACTCCCCAGGTGACGATTAAATGTGATGAGTATGTATTACTAGATGTGATCACAATTCCCGATATGCCTATTGGCAAGTAACAACCAACTAATGCTAACTGCACCCATAGTGCACTATACACTGCCTTTTTGTATCGCAAAATGTTTAGTGGATTTGGTTGGCTCTGTTGTTGTTGTTCTACTTGAGCCTAGTGCTGATTGGGAACGCAGAAAATCTTTGTGTACGAGGCGGCTGAGATTATGAGGCAAGATGGTATAATTATACGGCCACACCACATATCTATTCGGTAGTCTAAAATGTAGCATAAACCAGCGACACCAAGCAGTACCCAAAAGGTTGCTACCATGCAGTACAATTGTCTGTATCTTAGCTCCGACAACAGGGCGAGAAGTTTGTCTACGCTTATGGCCGCCATTGTCAACAAAGACACTGAGCATAATGCATAGGCTGTTATGTACGTTGCTTTGTATGCGAATCGACAAAGATACCACTCTTCGTGAGCCAAGGACATCCAATAAATGGCAATGAAAGGCTGGCTGACAATACCAACTAACAGATCAGTTGCTGCCAAACAGCGGTACGGACGGTGGACGAAGAGAAGATACTTTGTGAAGGGCAATAAGGATGAGAAAGTTTCCCAAAAATGCCATAGGTGAGAGAAGAATGTGGACCGCCGTGAAACAAACTGATTGTTGTTGCAATCCACCTGCCAATGATGGCGAGCAAACTAGGTCTTCAAATTTTTTTGTTTGCCTTTCAAATGTTGCTAAATTTGTGGTCGGCATCATCAGTATCTACTTTTCTTTGGATATAACAGAGACATTTCGCCTTCACAACAACAACTTCACATCCACTGTGGCTTAAATCTCACCTTTTAATAATGCAAATATACTAAGCATTCAAACGGTATCATTTACCCTATTTAAAATGCACAAACGATTTCAAGTGTCTTTTGTACCGCAAAACATATCAAAATTAACCCAAAGATTAGCATGTGTGCCTTGCATAAAATAACGATCCTAAAAGGGAATCAGTTGTTCAGCGAAAAGAAATTTTACGACAATTCATCCTGCCTTATACCCTAAAAGGTCTCAAGATAGATCCGAGGGTGGAAATGTTGCTTAAACGATATTAATTCAAATATTCCACTCACGGGAGACAATTTGTGTGCAAATTATCTCCAGTTTTAAGGCGGAATTTTGCTATAGAACAAAGCTGTCTGTTTGTCTATTTACCTGTTTATCAAACTGGTAAATGACAATGCGGAAATGGCATCTCATAACAGGGACAAATTCATACTCTCTATGGCAATTGTGTCAAAATAAATGGTAAAAAAAAAAAACAGTGTTTGACTAAGGAAAACCTTCGCTGAAAGCTATTGACAGATTACGAAGTGCTTATGCCAATGCTGTGATCACGGGACTTGTCACAATTATGATCACCTGCGTGCGGCAGACTAAAAAACAAAAGGGTTGCAGCGCAGATGTTACTCGGTTAAGAAGCAATTGTAAGACTTTACTCGGATGAATCTATGGTCTCCAATACCATGTTATTAGCCATGGTTTTCTTTTATTTTTAATTTTTTAATTTTTTTATTAATTTTTTTTTAAAACAAAACTAGCCTTTTATAATACAGTTTTGCTACCAAATGGAAATATTCAATAACTTCATAGGCGCAAAGCATGAAGCTACAGAAACCTTTGCAAAACATTATCGAAGTAACAATTAAAGCTGTTATGAATACAACGGGAGATTGCATTCATTTTGTGTTTCGATTCCCCTTTCGTAATAAGAGGCTCCACTACTAACGCGAAGAAAATATCTGTAGTAGTCACTCGTAATCACAGCTTTTACTGCATCACAGCTTTTATTGACAGCTTATCGAGTGAGAACACAGCCTGTTAACGCTTTTAGCCAGTAAAACGAATAATAGTATAATTTGCGAGCTTAATCTTAGGCAAACGATTGATCTCAAACGATAACTCTATATGAAATAGAGATTACCAATTTCCTTTCTAAGCATTTAAAGACATTAACAAAATCCACATCTTTAATTTACAAAGTTTCGTTGTAAAACACTATGGCTAATTTCCAATCATGACAAAATTGAGCGGCTGGCTTCGTTAACAGCACGTTACCACTAAACCATATTATTGAGCTCATGTAACATATCTCATCAAGTCTTGA